AACCCCAACTAATTTGTTCAACTGACTTAATCTAAGAGCTAGATCCTACTCAGCTAAACCAACTACAAGATCCAGACTGACTAACCCAGACTCACTAATCCAACTCAGCGAATCAAACGACTTTAACCATCTACTGTGTTTCAGCTGACTAGATCCAACTACTTAATCCAAACTATTAAACCAAATCACAGTTTCACATCTTTATCCAACTATTAGATCCAACCAGCTGTAGATCAACTACTTAATCCAACCACTTTTTTCAGACTGATTAACCCACACGTGTCAACTCAGCTTAACAAGACACTAACCCAACTCAGTCTGTAATCCAACAGCTGTAGATCCGACTAGTTAACCAGACTCACGTAATCCATTACTAGTTTAATCCAGACTCCACTGTAATCCTGACTCACTTTTTTCAACTGATCTAATCCATATGAGTAACCCAACTCACGAGAACCAAACATACAAAATTAAGAATCCCAACATACTTACAAAATGCTATAGAATATACCTCTTTCGCTTACTCCCGCCTCCCATTCACTAATTCACAACAACAATGATCAATTCACCCTCCCACTTCCACAAAACCTCTTTCTTTCTTTATACTCCCCATCTATAAATTCGCAATACCAAAATCCGAAACGCTGTCATAATAGACTATAAACCCTCACCTCCTCTCCGTAATACTGCGAAATTCCAAGACACAGATCGGCTCCTCCCACACACACTCACACTCCGCCGCACACAAGATTTCAGAGCAAAATGTTATACATTAAAGTATCCCATCTGAATCATCACACAAACTCACGATTTCTACAACATTTTCTATAAACTAAACCAAAAACAAGCATTTAACCAGGTAGACGAGACTAATAATAATAAAGATAGATAATAGATACATAATAATTATTATAAAAAAGATATATGAATTGATAAAAATAGATAAATAAATAAATAATAATAATATATAATAATAAAATAAAATAATAAGATAATAATTATAGATGATAATAAATATTAGATAAATAAGAAGAATAAAATAATATAATAATATGATATAAAATAAAATAATAATATAATATAAATTAAAATATAAAATTAATATAAATATAATAATAAATATTATAATAATATTAATTATAATATTAATAGATAAAATTAAAATAAAATTTTTTTTTTAATAATAATAATAAATAATAGATAATAATAATAATAATAATATGGTCACACACAAAATTAAAAATAAAATTCATCTATATAATTAATTATGTATTATATACCATTTACACATAGCTACCAATACTTACAATTCAAAATAACTATATTTTAAATAATAAAACAACTCCCTCCTCACACAACATCTCACAATACAAGATAAATAACATTGTAAACACAAAACAACTTCGGTTTCCAGACGACTCTCTTCATTTTGATACATCACAACAAAACTCGCTAGTTAAACTTTTGCCTTATAAGCTTTCCCGCTCTGTTTGTCATGAATTTTACCCCCCCCCAACTCCACTCACATCTTTCTCATTTCCCCGAACCGCTCATTCCACACCTATCTATTTTATTTCTATCTATATAACTAACATCCAATTTGTTTTCTCAATTCAAAAAATGCTTTTAACTACATACAATTTTTATAATCCTAATTGAATGTAAAACTTACCCAATTCACCTAAACTCCCCTCTCTCCAACACAACGACTCTCTTTAACTCAAACTGACACTTCACCCAATTATTCTACACTCTCTCAAACAACAACACAGGAGAGAAAAAGAATTGGTAAAAAAATTCATTTCAAATTTATCTTAATACCAGCTCCTCTAGGACAACATCAACCACCTGAATCCATACTCAATTTACATTCTATACGATTATATCACAACTGTTTATAATAAACATTGTATGAACTTGAAAAAACAAATGCATATAAGTTAAATAAATCAATTATAAACTAATCTCCAAGTACTAAAATAAGAACCTATTTTCCTATCTGAAAACAATAACCATCAAAACTAAACCCTTGAACAAAAATCAAATATAACTCTCCTCGGTCTTACTGAATCCAACTACTAAACCCACATCCTCTAAACATTGTTTTTTTTTTTACAAATTTTATTTCTTTTTTATTCTCCTAATTTCGTACTTGACTTTGCTTGTATTAGTAATATTTTAGCTTCTTTTTGTTCGGAACATTTTAATCTTTACATACTTGCCTGTAAAAAGCGCTATATAAATACACATTACTTACTGTTTATTTTATCAATTTTATTTTTATTTTCTCTCTCACTCTCCACTATCTACAACATAATCTATATTTCTATCTACTACGGAGATCTTCTATCATCTATCATCTATCCTCTAGCTCTATCTATCTTTCTTCACTACTACTTTCACTACCTTCCGTATATATCTAACTATCTATATATCTCTCTATCTATACTATCTATCTACCCTCTTTCTACTCTATCTATCTATCTACTATTCTATCTACTCTCTACTCTCTACTATCTCTATCTATCTATCTAACTATCTATCATCTAATCTATCTATCTATCCTCGATCTTTCTTTCTCTTCTCTCTATGCTCTATCTATCTCTATCTATCCACTATCTATCTTTCTCCTATCTCTACTATCTTACTATAATCTATCTATCTCTATCGATCATTCTACTATCAGCTTCTATCGTCTCTTTAGCTATCTACTATCTTCTTTTTATCTGCCTTCTACTATACTAGCTATCTATGACCTCACTCTCTCACCTGTACAATGCATCTTCATGTGCTTTTTTTACTATCACTTAGAAATCATATCCCATCTCACCAAATTCAAAATAAAAGTCTACATTTTCACTCATGTGTGCTACGAAACCCCCTCTTTCCACTTTTTTACACTAAACACTTCCTCACTGTCATCTCCATTCAGCATTAAAACCACTTCCCATCTATACACACCCTATCATCTACTCACCTCCGTCCCAGTATTTCAATCTACGGCCATATTAGTATGCTACTGCTATAAAAAACTACAAAAGCCAATCTTTTTCCAGATAACTAATTATCCATATCCCCCTCCTTTTTTATTCATAAACTTCAGACACACGAAAGAGAACTAATTCCTAAAATCATTTGTAAATATATCTTTAATTTATTTCTTTTCTCACCTTTACTCCTACACCCATCCTATCTACAGCCACATCCTGAACACACCTACTATCAACAAAACCTATCCGATCTCAACCGCATCTACTACACCTGATCCTGATCACAACCTCATCCTACTCTATAATCCGTTCACAACGATCCTGTTCTACATCCCATCCTATCTACACCCATCATATACCAAACCTCATCCTTCTACAACCTCATCTAAACAACAGCCAGTCCTACTACACCTCATCCTGTTCAACACCTATCCTACTACAACCTCATACCTTATCTACACCCAGTTCCTAAACAAACAGCCACTCCCTATTTACAACCTCATCCCTGATCAACACCTCATCCTATCACACCTCATCCTGAAACAAACCTCATCCTTCTTCACCTCATCCTGATCCTACACCAATCCTTCTTCCCTACCCTACACCTCAGATCCTATCTACACCCACCTATCTACACCTATCCTTTCTACAACCGCAGTCCTACTACTGCCTCATCCTAAAACCAACACTCATCCTTCTAACAACCTCTTCCTATCTACAACCTCATCCTGAAATCAACACTATCCTGGATCTACACCCTAGTCCTGATCAACAACCTCAGATCCTACCACAACCTCACCTGATCTACACATCCAACTACAACTCTTCCCAATCTACACCTATCCTATCTACCTCAGTCCTTCACACCCATCCTTTCTACACCTCATCTATCCACAACCTCATCCTCTACACCTCAGTTCGCTTCTATCTCTTCTGTCTTGGATAATCTCTCTCTCTCTCTCGCTTTTCTCACATTTCTCTTTTCTATCACTATTACTTTTTCTACCGCATAAAAAAACACACAACAAAAATCCCCTCACCTTCGCAACTACTACCGTTAGACATGATCCTCCGCCTAACTTATCGCTGTTGCCTTGATCACAACACAAATCTCCATCCCGACTCGTCCCCCTTCTCTCAATTGATCTAATCCCCTTCCTTCCATCCCTCTTGACTCGATTAGAATCTTTCCTCCGACCGCACAGTCCTTCAGCCCGTCCTTCACTCCTTCCGAGATCTTCATCCCTTTCACATAACACCTCTCCAAGCGCACCCTCACTCGTGACATGCTCCTCTCCCGCTCCTTCCCCCGCAACCGTTCTTAGTTCAAGCAACCCTCCACAATCCATTCCTCCTCATCCCAGTTTTTTTGTTCCCGAAGAACACCGAAGTTGGAGCCGCCAAAAGTCAAACGTTCCCTAATTATGAAGTGAACCCCCCATCGCCCTTCCCGTTACCCACCTACCCCTTTAACCTAGAAAAAAATTTAATAATAGACACCTTATCCTCTCAACCTTTCTTTCATCTCTACCCTCTGTCACAATACACTATTACCTTCAAACAAATAAACCAACAAATGCATCTTTTCGCTTTCTATCCAAAACATCTATCTGTCGTCCTAACACCCCAACAAAACACAATTTTATGTTTCCTTGCACCCCGAACAGATCATCTACAAACAAATCTCAACCCCTTACCATAATAAACCCATTCACTCCATAAATATCACCTCCAACCCCACCTTAAACAATCTATCACCACCCACTTTACAACACTACTTTACACCTCTATCAAGTACAACAAGAAATAAGTAAATTAAAAATGAAATAACAATGAAGTACCTAATAAAACTAATAAACATTACTGAATCTAAACACAGAGCCTCTCTACGCTACATCACACGCCTCCTCTACTCTAACACAGACAGCCTCCTCTACCTCTGAACACAGACGCCCAACCTACCTTAAACCAACTCCTCCTCAACTCTGAGACACAGACTGGCCCCCTACACTAACACAACTGCCTCCTCCTCTGAGAGCACAACTCCTCATCACCGAACACTGACAGAAGGTAAAAGAGATTATCGGAGGCGTGGAGGAAGGACGCCTTCCGGGTGGGGTCGCATGATTGGATTCGCCCGCCTGTGGTGGATGTGAGGCGAAGCTGGGAATACTGGAATTGTAACAGGTCAGGTGAGTGGATAGTTGATGAATGATTGGACGGAAGGTTGGATAGAGGCGGGTCTTGAGTCGTTGACCTTGCGATCTTGTTAGTGTGGGAGACCGAACTCTGGGCCGATGTGGGCATGATTGTGCCTGGAGAGTGCATCTTGAGAAGCTTGTGAGCGATGTGAATGAAGTGATTAATATGAGATTTATCTGTTGTTGGGTGCGGGATCGACTCTGCGCGCGACTACACACCGTCGATGGATTTATCACGCGCTGATTCGAGGGGACTCGTCCCGTTTGCTGCCTTTGCGTCGGCGCGGCGTGGGACGGTTCTCGATTTGGCGAAATCAATTTATATGAAGTCAGAGACTACCCTCGGGTTGATAACTATGTTATACGCGGGATTGCTGTGGGACCCGAATCGAATGCGGCTCCGGGCGTAGAGCGGACCGGTTTCTCGGGGTGAGTTCGAGCCGTCCCTGTTGATGACCGGCCGGCGCGGCACTCACGGCTCTTGGGTGACGATGGTAACGCCTTTCGCAAGCTACCCACAAGGAAGAGGACTGTGACATCGGGGCCGCTGATATACCGAGCGATTCCCTATTGTCGCCCAAAGCTCCGGGACCGGTCCCAAGTGTGCTTTTGTTGCAGAAGGGGTTGCTAACGTTCTCAACACGACTTTTATCTCGCCTCGTCTCTAATAGAGCCCGCCTTTAAACTTATTTATCTTGGCACTGTAGACGGTCGATTTGTTGTTGGACCTTAGGAGTTAATTATCGTGCGTGATGTTTTTCCCGTCCGGGGTTGGCCGAAGATGTATTAGATGAGAGCAGCGGATTGGCTAGTTCTCGTGCCGTGAAATAATTGGTACGGCGTAGACTTACTGAGCATGATTCTGGCTTCACGAAACGCGAGTCCCCTGCACGATTGCGGGTTAGCGACCTGTGTGTGGCGAGCGATGCTGTCGCAACGTATTGAGAGATGTCGGTCTGTGTAGTCTGCACGCGGAGCGAGATATAGTGGATTGGTGCGTATGGTAACCATGAGTCCGGAATAGGTTTGTTTGGGCGACGCTCTCATACATATGTTCCTAGCATAATGGGCTTAGGATGGTCGGTTAGGCGTAGGGTGGTTTTTATGAATGGCCCGGTTGATCGTGCGATTTTGCTCCTCACTCGCCAAACCGCTGTGAGAGGGGGTCAGGTACCGACAGATGTGTGCACTCGGAAATGATGGAGGTAGTGTTTGGATGGTCTGAGTCGACGTCGGAGAGTTGCTTCTGCCGGGCCCTGCCCTGATCCATGCTGTTGGTTTCTTTCCTAGGTTGCTTTCCCGTGGCGAATCGCATCGCACGATGTGTGAGGTTGTGAGTCTGATGACTGGTCTCTCGGGCTCGACTGATGGGAAGCGCTGGGTGAGAATTTGGCACCCTGGCTATCATACCCTGTTACTGTAGGCGCAGGTTACTTATCCTCGGTGAGGCTATGACGGAGCTAGCTTACAGGCTGCTAGGCTTCCAGTTTTTCGCCGCCGTATGGGGATGGCGTGGCTTAGTACGAGTCGGAACGCTGTGGTATCTTCTTCATTGGCACCCCTTGTATATCCCGCTCGGACTGTGTGGATGGGAGGAACTGGTGCCCTTCTAGCCCTGCGCAGTGCATCGTAGATATATGTGGGACTCTGAAAGATTACCCCCATAGGGTTCGCTTTAAGATCGGGGAGTTACTGCCCATGAACCGAGGCATTTTTGGGGTCGACTCTTTGGCTGAGACCCGAATCTTGAGGGCGACGTGCTACTTCGATGATGGACTACCCCCTGGCGGTGAGTCTTGTCGTTGGCGACCATCAGTTCGAGCCGAGGGATTCCGTGACGTACAGGGTGTTGTGCCTTCCGCTCCTGCGTACTGCCATGGAAAAGGTGCGCATGATCGGACGTATGGGGCCATCGCGCTTTAATTGCTAAGACACTTAGGACGAAGATACATATGATCTGATGCTGAAAGTTCCACTTCCGGATAGAGAAGCAGTTGTTGCATATTGTTTATCCCTTGGCCTCTGCACTCGTTGCGGCGGAGAATTATCCCACCAGTAGGGCCTTCAGCTGGCGGGTCGGACCCGCTGCGGCCGCACCCCGTAAGGCCAGTTGGAGGCTCGACGGCCTGCACAGCGCTTGCCGGGTGGTTAAGATGGGAATTTTGCCAGGGAGAGATGCTGGATGCCGACGCTTAGGAATGAGTGGGGCTGTTGAAGCAGACGAGGAGTGGAGGAGCCGTCGCACGATGGCTTTGACGATCTTTTCGGGGATCCGAATAACGTGTCTGCCTACGAGCTGACGAACGATTCGACGGTGACGGCGAAGTGAAGCGAGTGCGTTGACCAGGTTTCGGACCGGAGGCGAACAGGTGGTCCAGTGGAATGGATAGGTTGAGTATCTAGGAGCGATGGCGTGGGATTGGGAGTGATCGAGTTGCGATTTTTGGGATTTAGCAGATGCGCCGATGTGAAGTTGGGGATAGAGATCCGGCGATGTTAATCTAGCGTGTCTGCCCGCGAGGGTCCGCTTGAGTTCTGTAGAGCATTGTGGCGGGGCCATGAGCGAGACCTTGGGCCTGAGCTGTCATGGCCGATGTCGGCGCCCAGTCGTTTCGTTAACTTCGTTGAGTTTTAGCCAGAGGCGGGCGGGGTGCTTCTATATGACGATTGGGCGAGAAGAGTGTAGCGTGTGGGCCCGCGAGTCTCGGGGTGATAGAGTAGAGCCGTGAGTGCGGAGACTAAGTCTCACCTGGCTGTAAACTGGCTAGACTCCTCGACGGGAGGACGAATTTAGGCCCCTGAATTTTGTGACCAGGATCGACGGGCCGCGATCGTCCCCGAAACTAGAATGAGTCGGAGGCGCCGGGATTTGCCGAGAGGTTGTCGTCGCCCCTGGCTATTTGTGAGTGTGTAATGGGGAGCGAGTGTTGGGGCCCACCCGGAAGATAAGGAGCAGTAGGATGAACCGTGAGTTGAAGGCGTACGCGGTGGAGACTGTAGTTTGTTGTTGAGCGAGTCGCGTCGCGGAGGGTGCCGAGTTCGATGTCGGGGCTTTCAGGCATGGACTCAATTGAGATGATGTTATGCTTCACTCACCCGGGTTTGGAGGAGACATGGAACTGAAGCGCGATGGTGGCTCGGAGGGGGTCAGAGTGCCGGACTGTGGGCGAAACTCTCACGTTACGAGTCGCGGGATGGAGGCTATTTGAACATCCTGCAGCGAGCTCTTGAGCCTGTCGAGAGGTATGAGAGACGGGCGCCGGCGGATTCGTGTGGATCGAGAAGCTCTGATGCGCGACCGCGATTGTCTGCGCGATAGTTTCGACGGGTATCCATGTGAGCTTATTTGCTGTCCCGAAGGATATGAGTTGGGTGGATGCCGCGGCATCGACGTGTTTGTAGGGAATCGTCCGAGTTCAGCGGTCGGACCGCCTGTGGCGTGTGGGACCGGGGAGGGCCTTGGAGGTGGGGACGGGCGACCTCCTTGCGGACACTGCCGGGGAGTACCCTTTCGATGACGTGCGCTGACGGGGGGATGCAGGGCGGCGAGGAGTGGTTCCGCCGGATGTGGGTTCGAGGCGCTGGAATGGGGATGCGTTACTTGTTGGTGGATGCGGACACGGAGTCCTGAACGTGGGCCTTTGATGATGGTGCCTAGGTTATTGTGGGGAGTTGAGTGGTGGGAGGTGTCTGTCGAGGTGGTTGGGTGGGGAGGGCAGTTCTCCGCTTGAGGGCGACGGGGACGCGGGAACTGTTCGGGGAGGGAGCTTTGGTCAGGGGGAGGGAGGCGTGAGAGCACTGCGGCCCTTGGGTGAGAGGTCCGTGGTGGGGGGTTGGAGCGGGCGAGCGCGACGCCGGGCCGCCGTGGGCGAGGAGAGGCGTGTGCGGTGGAGAGTTGTTTGGGGGGGGCTCGAGGAGCGGTCCGGTCCTGGGACCGGGAAGGGATCGGAGCTAAGGGAAGCCCTGGAGATGAAACGTGGGGGAAGGTTGAGGGAGAATGGAGAGAGTGCGGAGAGGATTGGGTTGAGGGAGTGAGGGGACGGCGGGACGTAGAAGAAACTGAGGAAGCATGGACTCGTTGTGGGGAGGGGGCGGACAAGAGCTTTCCGCGGGGGATGAGAGATTTTCAAGACCCTAGTCCGGAGGATAACCGAGGGACTATCTTGGAGCGAGGCCAGCTAGTTGGATCTGATGATTATATAACTGATGTACCAGGAGTGGTAGGTGGGGATCCTAGAGTAGCCGATGATTCATGAGCTCTAGAGGTAGGATGTTTAGAGGCGAGAGCCGTAGATGTCTTAGGACTCAGTCGGGATTGGATGAGACGGATAGAGAGTTAGGACTGATCATGATTGTTACACTTTGATGTGGCGAGCGATGGGCTACGAGATGCGCTGGTTGGATATGATGTGGGATGCGCCGGTTGGGGTGCTCCGTGGACCTGCCCGCTTCTTCAGTCGAGACCGGAAGCCCGATGCCGAAGACCCTTTCTTTCTGACCATAGAGGGATGAGAGTCAAGGGCGAGCAGTGAAAACTTGGGGTTGTAGCTGCTGAGATGATTATAGACGGATTTGGATGCGTCTTAAGGCGCCCAGGGGCTAGTTGTAGAGTCCTGAGGCGGAGGACCATTACCGAAATTGGCGTCACCTGTGATTAGGGGGAATGGAGCTTGGACAGGAGGTGCGTATAGTGGGACGGTTACAGTCGTGACGCGAGAGGCTGTCGGCTCCCACGTGAGAGATCGACTTGATAGATTTTTTGTCGGCGACGGCGCTTTGAACGATTTGGGGCGAGGATAAGACTCCGCTTTTCTTGAGACTTAGAGTGGAGGGGTCTGCAGGCCGAGGGTACTCTGGGTGGGCTGTTCAGTGAGGAGACGTGAGGATGAGTCGGACGTCAAAATTCGATGTATCGATAGGAGGTTATAACTTAGAGGACGAGCGCTGAGTAAGGACCTTCAGCGTGGTGGCGAAAACTGAGGTGGAAGCGGGATATAGTGGTAGCTGGATTAGTAGGATGGTACGGGAGGTACTGGCGTGGAGAGGGGGGCTGGGAGTGAAAAGATGTGAGGTGACGAGGAGCGTGAGGATCGGGGTGACAGGTTAGGATCTGGTTCGATCCGATGTGTAGTCAGCTGAGAATTCGGAGATGATGGTACGTGGAACGTTACGATGGACTGAGACCGAAGGGAGTGTGAAGACTGGTTTTGATTGAGGCCCTAGAGTGAGAGTGAGAGGAGGACGTCAGGTCAACTGAGGTGTGAGTTTGACTGGCGTCTAGCAGACATTGGGAGTAACAGTCTTGGGAGAGGATGATTGTATTCGACGTGAAGATGGAGAGTTACGGGAGAGTCAATCAGGATGGGCGATTCAGGTTGAGAGTTACCGAGAAAGACGGCGCTGGGGGTGGAGATGTGGACGTCCTGGACATGGCTTGGGAGCCAGCTAGAGAGAGAGATTGCGGCGAGCGGAGTTGTGAGGAGGCGAGCTAGTTGATTTCGGATATGCGGGGAATACGTTAGTAGAGGTAGACCCGTAGGCTTGTGGCACCGCAAAGATGGGTAACAGCTTTGGAGTGCACATTCCCTCCCGTAGTTCGTCACCAGTGATGAGCGGCAGGGTGAGCAGACGGAGGCGGGGTAAGAGGTTAAAGGAGGAGTTCGAGTCAATTTGACCGACGGACGGGTCGAGGGGAGACCGTGATATCGCGACTCGAAGAGACATTTGCATGGGATCATAGCGTCTGAGTCGACGGCATAGTTGCACTGAGTGAAAGATGAGATGAGATCAGAGTGAGTGACTGTAAGACAATAGGGTGGGATTAGGAAGAGGAAGACAGGAGAGGCATGGGGGGGGAGATAGGGGCTACCGAGAAGCTGATTAGCACTAGGCAAGAAGACGACGGTGGAGAGTTTACCCGCTGATGGGCTGCCGAGTGAGAACGCAGTGGACGAAGCACCGCGATACGAGTGATATCCCGGACGGGGGAAGTGTTTTGTTTTTCGGGGACGCAGTAGACTGAGAAGCTGTCAGTAGCTGAGATATGGATGTGGGATGTCGCGGCTCGGCGAGATGTTGGGGTTGATTGGATACCTCGAGTATTAGTGAGAGAACCGTGGTGAGGTAAGTGCCCGGAGGTGACCGCTAGAGAGGGGCGATCGTTTGGACTGGAATTTCTATGTGGCCGGGCCTTATTGGGAGATGCTGGAATGCTCACGTTCCTAGGTAGGAGCGTAGGACTCTGGGTTGTTGTGAGTGCGAGGAAGTGCGGTGACAGAGTAGAGGGGTTGACCTGGATGGACGTGACAATGGATGTGAAGAGACCTGATTCTACGAGGACTGGGGGGGAGATTTTCGCGGGGGGATCAAGTGGCGAGTGGAGTCCTAAGACGAGATTAATGTTATATGAGCATTACGAGGTAGAGGTTTATGGCGCACTCCCTGCAGGGTTCGACTGGAGATTTGGAGTGATAAGGATTCCATTGCAGCGTTGATAAGAGTCTCGCTGTGACTGTATGATTAGGGGGCATTTTTCGATGGGTAGGAGCGTGGAGACCGCGCGATAGATGATTGCGGACTCTAGAGGACGTAATACGAAGTTCCGTGTGGGAAAGTGATGGTCTGTGAGAGAGATATGGTCGAATGAGGCGTGGAGGAGATCCGGCGCTGCAGCGGATTGTTAGATGTGACGAGATGTGGGTGATGGAGAGGGGTTAGAGGAAAGAAGCTTCACTTCGGAGATGTGAACTGAGCTCTATTGCGAGGTGAGAGGGAGGAGTGAGTAGATGGGAGATGAGTTTGTGTATTGAATTAGGTTTGGTGATTATCCCTGGGTTGTCGTACAATATGGGCTGTATACGCTCATCTTGAGTGCGAGAGTCCGCTCTTCCTGTGGAGGGAGTGGTATTTTGTACAGGACGTGATCTAGCGGCGACGTGTGCTGAGGACGGTTTCCGCGCGCTGCCAGCGTTCTCTTACCGTCGAAGAGTCTAGCTTTTTCGGCTTCCGTAGTGCCGAGACTTTGGCCTGTCGAGTGGGCTTTGACTAGGAATTAGTCGGGGGTATAGGTTCCCCGCATTCGGTAGAGAGGGTTAAGATCTGGGAGGCACTCTGGACTGTCGGGAGGTCAGAAACAACCCCCACATCACCCCATGTTTTTGTATTTGACGAGCACGCGTAGCACCTGATGTTGTTCGCCTGGCTTTCCGAACGCGGTTCTCGAGCTCGATGGGTTTATAGAGGGCTGTGGTCCTGGCCAGACTGACTGTCTCCCTAGCTCAACGCGGATGATTGCGTATTTCGGGACTGTCGGTAATGGAGGTTTTCCTGGGTTGATCCTAACGGGTGGGTATCTCGAGTTCGGGACGGGCTTGTCTTGGGTGGCGCTCAGAGCATCGGTACCCCCTCCGTAGTTCGTTCTTGCTCCTTTGCGTTTCGCCGAGGGGGGTTATTCTGGATGGTTTTAACTTTCGCAGTTTTGTTTCTCGGGGCGAGAAGGGGTCGCACACGGTCCACACGATCGCCCGCCTCTCTGAGCAAGGTCGCGGGATTCGTCGTAGACTTGCGCGCCCGTCTAGGCTTTTATCGAGCGGGAGGGTTACGCAGTAGGAGCGGAGAGGGACGGGATGGACAGAGATCCCCGAGAGATTCTGCGACTGCCGAGAGCGTGCCGCTTAGACTTGCGACGCGATTCGTTTTGAAGGTTAGTATGATTGTGTGACCCGAGCGAGGAAGAGGGTAGCTTCTGCTTAGTTGCACGCTCCTTGGCTCCTGTGTGTTTGTTGACGGGGTATGGCCGGAGGGGAAAAAGGAGAGCGGGGGCTGCGGGAGAGAGATTGAGGAGGAAGCGAATCGTATTTGATTGTCGCGAGGGAACGGCCTAGAGGTTGGGGGAAGTTATGGTGGGAGTCGGGAGGAAGGTTCTGGGAGTGAAGTCGCCCGTAGCCGTGCTGTTGGTCGAGATTACGGAGGGTTGTCCGCACAACCATGGGGGCAGGTGGGCCGAGCGTTTGGTTCGAAGTGAGTATGCGGTGTGTGGCCGAAGGGGCGAGAATTGTCAGAGTTCGAAGTGGTGTTGAATGTCGGTGGGGAGGGGAGGGGGGAGGGTATGTCTCGCTAGCAGGCTGGGTCTGGTCCTAGGTGTTCCTGTGTCGGCCGTCTCGATAGGTGAGGGACGAGCCTTAGTTTGATTGGGTGATGGCCCGGCGGATTTCTCCCGATCGTGTGCGAGGGGTGGTGGATGGGGCGGACGGAGGAGAAATGCGGCGCTGAGCTGAGGTGCACGGTTGCCCTTGACGTGGTCGCTTGGTCGGGGATCGAGCTCCCGGTAGTTAGGCGGAACGCGCGTGGACTGTGCGTGGGGGATGGCGGGCCGAGGAGGGGGAGTCACCTTAGCGTCTGAGGGGAGACGGGGGATCTCCTCGGGGCCTGGGGAGCCGAGGCGGGGGTGAAATGGCTGGGAGATTAGAACTGGGGGAGTGGGTGCCCTGGTGACCTTCGCCTTTGACGTTACGCGGAGGCGGTATGGCGGTCTGGCGGGTCGCTGGGCTGTCGTGGCCGGCCTGCCCGTTATGCCGTTGGCGGGGGTTGTGGGGGGCGTTTCGGGTAATAGTGTGATTGAGGGAGAGTCGCCTGTACTTCTGGATGGTATTGATCGGTGAACTGTATTGGTGTTGGTCGGAGAGAAGGAATCGATCGCAGAGAAAAGGGATGTCACGACGCCGGAGGCAGAGGGGAGTAGGGGCGTGTGTGTCGAGGGGGGGTTGGCTGAAGCTGGAGGTTGGATGAGAGCGGGCCGTATGTGATCCGGAAGGGTGGGCTCTTATGGGCGGGGTGGTCGGGGGGGTGGTCGCGCGCTGGGGTCGTTCCGACGGGGCTCGTAGCGCGGGGCTGAGGAGCAGTTGCGCGCTGTCGAGGGAGGCGTAGTCGTTGACAGTGGGGTTAGTTGGGATGCGGCGGGCATGGACGGTGCGCTGTAGGTCGTGGCTGAGTCGTGCTATGTGTGCATGAGCGATCTAGTGGTCGAGGAACGTACCTCGCTGTAATATATGTTTATTGAGATTTTTCGCTGTTCTTGACGACTATAGGGCTGATGGGGAGGACTGGATTGAGTGTTTCGGATTGGCCAGCGATTGCGGGGGGGCGGCTGCTCTTAGTTGCCCGACGGTCTGTGGCTGGTGAGTTGTTCGTACGTGAGGTGTGGTGTGAGCTCGGGTGGTGAGGAGAGGAGCGTGTACCCTTTTTGAGAACTCGGGGGGGCGGGAGGTGTTGAAGTCTTTTACGCGAGAAGGGGACGGGAGAAGGAAGACACACAAATGAAAGAGGGTGGGGAGAGGAGGGGAGTCCCGGCGGAGGCGGGCTCTGTGATGCAATGAGAGCGCTGAGAGAACAACAAACAAACAAGAGAGATGATAGGAGAGATAGAAGAAGAGGTGAGAGAGACGAGGAGGAAGAGGGAGAGAAAGAGATAGAGCTAACAAGAACGAGCAGAAGAGGGAGGAAGGAGAGAGAGAGCAAGAGGAGAGAGCGGGGGAGAGGAAGAAAGGGAGATGCGCGGAGGAGCCACAAATAGAGAGAGCAGAAGAGAGATAGAGAGACAGAGGAGAGAGAGAGAGGGGGAAAGAGGGTATGGTTCCTAGTTCCCCACTGTTCGGATCTAACCAAAATGAGTTTCAACTTACTATTACAAAAAAGGTCTCTTAAATTGTGGCTTTTTGCCGTTATAGAAAAAAAAGTGAGACAAAAGACTTTGTTCACTCGTCAGAGACACACGCAGCCTATTGTGCATGGTTTTGAGTGGTAACCGACGCAGACACCGGGAAGGGAACATGTAACTGGAAACAAACAGGACCACATGTCAGCTGACTTTTTTTATAAAAAAATAAAAACACTTTTATGACATGCCATGTTTGATTAATTTGTTGTAGTTTTTGGGAGTTGGTAAGTGTGTTTTTTCTATCCCTATGGTCCTCTCCTCAGGGTATGGGGTGGGGTTTTGTGTGTAGAGGATATAATTGTTATATATAATATAAAAGTGTAATTAAATTGCTGGTCAAAAATATATAAGAATGAAGTGCGTGGGGGGGTTTTTAATGTCGGAAGATGAGTGGTGGAGTTACCAGCAGAGAGTGGGAGAAATAGGGGAAGTGGTTGGTGGGGAGGGTGTTGGTGGTGATGGTGAGGGGTCCGGGTGGGGGGGGTGGGGCCATGGGGCCTGGTTGGGTTGTGCCCGGCCAGGGGGGGATCCGATCCTTGGTGTCTGGTAGTGGGGGTTTTTTCCACTGAAAAATAGATGACACAATAGGTCTCTCGGGGGGGGGGGGGGTGGGGGGGGGGGTTGGATCTGGGGCTTTCCTATGGGGGCGCACGCTTGGGGAGCGGAGGTGTGGGAGGGTGAATAAAAGGTCTGTACTGTCTCACTTGTTGGGGTTGGGGGGTTGTTGTGCGTAGTAGGCTAAACAATAAAGTCAAAATGAACCAATGGTGGGGATGTGTGAAGTTCGCATGGTATGAGTAAGCTGTGGGGGTAGAGTGTGGGGGGGATAAGGGTGTACGAAGGCGGGGTTGAGAGGGACTGACGGTAATGGGTGGGTTCGTGCGTACAATACACGAAGGGCTCGATACGCGAGCTGGGGGCAGCGATGCCGACCTCGCACGAAGATGCGAGTGCGTGTCCGTGGTATGGTGCTGGCGCTATAGCGAGGCGAGAGGGGGGTGGGAGGAGCCTGCGCAACCGGGCGCACTCCCTAAGCCGAGAACCGAAGGGACACACACCACCCCCCTCCACGCCTCTCTTTGCAATCGCGAGCAGACCGGCTTCCAGCCCTCCTTAGTATTTTGGCGTGGGCGGGTGGGGGTGGGGGCGGCCGCAAGGAGAGTCCAGAGAGCGAGAGGAGGCCGCCAGAGTGACACTAGCCAACACACACGCCCCACCGTCGACAAGGCACCATCCGACCCAACCCCCCAGAAGCGCTACCCCGACGAGAGGCCGCCCAGACACCAGCGCGCAAAACCGTAGCGCGCCGCGGTACGGCGAGCCGCATTGAGCGCCGGAGCGGCGCGTAGGGGTACCAGAGGGCGAGAGTGAACGAGGGGATGGTTGGCGAGGAGAACAAATAACACACAAGCAAATGAGGGGGGGAAGAAAGAGCGGAGAGAGCGAAACGAGGCGGCAAAAAACACCGCGACAAGATAGAAGGAGGACCACTCCACCGAAAGAGACGACACCCAACTCAAAAAGCAGAAAGAAAGAACACAAGAGAGAGAGAGAGGGAAAGCAGAAACGACCAAGAGGCAACACACGAGCGACAAGACACAGGACTGTCTCCCCTCGCCTTTCACCCCACAAAAACAACCAGGCCAGCAACCACACACACGCAAAATGACGCCCAAAGAACGCCGGAAGATAAACAGCCCCGAGCGGAGCATCGCAAGCGAGCGAGCACGAGCGGAGCTGACAGAGGCAGAAAGCAGCAGCGAGGAGATAGAGCAGGAAGCCGATGCGTTCGCGTAGCGCGGGGACACGCGAGCGACAGGAGGGGGGTGGAGCGCGCGCCGGCGAAACAAGCGAGTCTCGCAGCACCGCGCGCCGCGACGTAACGCTCGAGGGCCCGCCTTCCGACGCCGATCTCTCCTCCCTATCATCTGCGCGCCCTTCCTAACCCCACCTTGTTTTTTTTTTTTGGTTTTTGGTTCGTTTGTGGTGCGTGTTGCCGTGTTGAGGTGGTGTTGGGGGGCGTTTAATGTTGGTCTTTCTGCGCGCGGGATCTCCCGGCGCGTCTTCTCGCTGGCTTGAGTGCTCTTCTTCTCTTTTCTCCCCTCCCCCCACTTCTTATTCCTCCTTCTCGCCCTCCCTCTCCTTTTCTTGAGCTTTCAACTTTCTTTTCTATACCTCTCCTATCTCTCTCTTGTTGCTCTCTCTTCCCACTGCTCTTTTAATTGTTTTAGTTTTTTTCTCTCCCTCCCCCCCCACTCACCCCTCACTCCCCTTCCCACTCTCTCCACTCTCCCTCTACCTCTCTTCCTCCCTCCCTCTCTCAGCGCTCTCTCTTCCCTCTCTTTCCCTCTATTCTCTCTCTCTCTCTATCCTCTCTCTTCGCTCTCTCCTCTCTCACTCTCCCCCTGCTCTCTCTCTCTTGCTCTCTCTCTCTTCTACCCTTTCTCTCTCCCTCTTCTTCTCTTTCTTGTGGTCTCTCTCTCTTTCTCCCTCTTCCTCTCTCTCTCTCCCTCTCTCATCTATCTCTCTATTCTTTGCTCTGTTGCTCTCTCTCCTCTTTCATGTTTCTCTCCCTCCTCCCTCTACTCTTCTCTCTTTTCCTCTCTTCTCCCTCCCTCTCTCTCGCTCTCTCTCCCTCTTCCTCTCTCTCTCACTCTCTCTCTCCCTCTTCTTTTCTATCTCTCTCTCTCTCTTTATGCTCTCTCGCCCTCTTCTCTTGCCTCTCTCTCTCCTTCCTCCCCTTTCTCTCTCCCTCTTCTTCTCTTTCTTGTTGCTCTCTCTCTCTTTCTCCCCTCTTCCTCTCTCTTCCCTCTTCTTCTATCTCTCTCTCTCTCTCTTGTTGCTCTCTCTCCCATCTTTCATGATTCTTCCCTCCCTCCCTCCTCTTCTCTCTCCTCTTCCTCTCTCTCTCCTCTTCTTCTATCTCTCTCTCTCTCTTTTGCCTCTCTCGCCTCTCTCTCTTGCTCTCTCTCTCCTTCCTCCCTTTCTCTCTCCCTCTTCTTCTCTTTCTTGGTGCTCTCTCTCTCTCTTCTCCCTCTTCCTCTCTCTCTCTCCTCTTCTTCTATCTCTCTATCTCTCTCTGTTGCTCTCTCTCCCTCTTTCATTGTTTTCTCTCCCACCCTCCTACTCTCTCTCACCCTCTTCCTCTCTCTCTCCCTCCCTCTCTCTTCGCCTCTCTCCTCTTCCTCTCTCTCTCACTCTCTCTCTCCCTCTTCTCTATCTCTCTCTCTCTCTTTTTGCTCTCTCGTCCTCTCTCTCTTGCTCTCTCTCTCCTTCCTCCCTTTCTCTCTCCTCTTCTTCTCTTTCTGTTGCTCTCACTCTCTTTCTCCTCTTCTCTCTCTCTCCCTCTTCTTCTATCTTCTATCTCTTCTTGTTGCTCTCTCTCCCACTTTCATGTTTCTCTACTCCCTCCCTCTCTCTCTTCCCTCTTCCTCTCTCTCTCCCTCCTCTCTCTCGCTCTCTCACCCTCTTCCTCTCTCTCTCACTCTCTCTCTCCTCTTCTTCTATCTCTCTCTCTCTCTTTTTGCTCTCTCGCCCTCTCTCTCTTCCTCCCTTCTCTCTCCTCTTCTTCTCTTTCTGTTGCTCTCTTCTCTTTCTCCCTCTTTCCTCTCTCTCTCCCTTTCTTCTATCTCTCTATCTCTCTCATGTTCTCTCTCTCCCACTTCTGTTTCTCTCCCTCCCTCCCTCTCTCTCTCTCCTCTTCCTCCTCTCTCCTCCCTCTCTCTCGCTCTCTCTCCCTCTTCCTCTCTCTCTCACTCTCTCTCTCCCTCTTCTTCTCCTCTCTCTCTCTCTTTTTGCTCTCTCGCCCTCTCTCTCCTTCCTCCCCTTTCTCTCTCCCTCGTCTTCTCTTTCTTGTTGCTCTCTCTCTCTTTCTCCCTCTGCCTCTCTCTCTCCTCTTCTTCTATCTCTCTCTTGTTGCTCTCTCTCCCACTTTTCATGTTTCTCTCCCTCCCTCCCTCTCTCTCTCTCCCTCTTCTCTCTCTCTCCTCCCTCTCTCTCGCTATCTCTCCCTCTTCCTCTCTCTCTCACTCTCTCTCTCCCTCTATTCTTCTATCTCTCTCTCTTCTATTTTGCTCTCTCTCCTCTCTCTCACTCTCCCCCTCTCTCTCTTGCTCTCTCTCTCCTTCCTCCCCTTTCTCTCTCCCTCTTCTTCTCTTTCTTGTTGCTCTCTCTCTCTTTCTCCCTCTTCCTCTCTCTCTCCTCTTCTTCATCTCTCTTTCTCTCTCTTGTTTACTCTTCTCTCCTCTTTCATGTTCTCTCTCCTCCCTCCCTCTCTCTCTCTCTCTCCCTCTTCCTCTCTCTCTCCCTCCTCTCTCTCCTCTCTCTCCCTCTTCCTTCTCTCTCTCCTCTCTCTCTCTCCTTCTTCTTCCATCTTCTCTCTCTCTTTTGCTCTCTCCCCCTCTCTCTCTCTCTTGCTCTCTCTCTCCTTCTTCCCCTTTCTCTCTCCCTCTTCTTCTCTTTCTTGTTACTCTCTCTCTCTTTCTCCCTCTTCCTCTCTCTCTCTCCCTCTTCTCTATCTCTCTATCTCTCTCTTGTTGCTCTCTCTCCCTCTTTCATGTTTCTCTCCCTCCTACCTCTCTCTCTCTCCCTCCCTCTCTCTTGCTCTCTCTCCCTCTTCCTCTCTCTCTCACTCTCTCTCTCCCTCTCTCTTCTATCTCTCTCTCTCTCTCTCCTTTTGCTTTCTCTCTCCCTCTCTCTCTTGTTTCTCTCTCTCTCCCTCTCTCTCTCCCTTCCTCTCTGTCTCTCTCTCAGTCCCTCTCTCACTCACTCTCTCTCTCCCCCCCTCTCCCTCTCTCTCTCTCCCTCTCTCTCTCTCCCTCTCTTTCTCCCTTCCTCTTTGTCTCTCTCTCCCTCCATCTCTCACTCACTCTCTCTCTCTCCCCCTCTCCCTCCCTTCCTCTCTGTCTCTCTCTCCCTCCCTTCTCTCTCTCTCCCTCTCTTTCTACCTTCCTCCATGTCTCTCTCTCCCTCCTTCTCTCTCTCTACCCTCTCTCTCTCACTCAATTCTCTCTCTCTCCCCCTCTCCCTCTCTCTCTCCCCTCTCTTCTCTCCCTCTCTTCTCCTCTCCGCCCTCCCTCTCTCCTCTCTCCCTGCTGGGACAGGGTCACACAGGGGGGCAGCAGCAGGGTGGGTGGGGGTATTGGATTAGAGCTGGTATTGTTGGCTCTTTCCATTGGAACATGACCTTGACAAAGACTTTGGGTTCAGCCCACTCAACAATCCTCCAGTCGGCCGCAATATATCCACTAATATAAAGTTTAGTGGAGGAGTGATGGTGGCCGTGGTTACCGAGCGCCAAGAGAAACAGAGAGACAAGCTCATCGCTACAAAAGGGAAACATGATTTGTAATTAAAACAGACTTTAAAATACTTTTATATTCTTGACCAGGTTTGATTTTAATGTGCTTATGTTTTCAATAAATATGACACATTCTCTGAACTCTATAGATTTAAAGTCATATTGTGGATGATTAAAGCCAATGGATATGATTTGTTTGTAGATAAATAGGAGGAGGTACTAGTCAGGTTTGTGCCGTTTGTGTTATAGGAGTTTAGTTTTTAATATTATTCAGTGCCTTTGTGAGATCAATAAAGTATATCTTATCTTATCTTTAAAACAATCCAAATAATTGTCAAAAGTACATATAGTAACAAATAAAAACCCTGTATGAGTCAAAGTTTGGGGTTTCTTCACACTGTAAAAAAGAAAAAGTTAGTTCAACTCAAAATTTCAAAGCAACCAGCTGCGAAGGATTTTTGAGTTGAAGGCATTAACTTAATTCTTCAGGTTTTGAAGAACTACACTTATTAAGTTGTGTCAACAAAGTTTTCCAAGTTCTGTCAACTAAGTTTTTAAATTCAAGTTACTGGAAATTTCAAGTCTGTAAAATTTTACTTTTTAAAGTTCAGATTACAGTCCCCTACAATAACTTACTATTTTGAGTTTAAATTAGCCCCCACATTAAACCATTATGATGTTTATTTATATAGCGCATTTCACAGACCAAGGTTACTTGGGCAGGGGAAACCTATGCAGACAAAGAGAACATGCAACTTCCACTCAGAAAGGCACTGTTCCGACCAGGATTCGAACCCAGGACCTTCATGTCAAGAACCGAGAGTGCTATCCACTCAGCCACCGTGCCGCACTGTGAACCCGAATAGTGGGGAAAACTAATGTTTCTAAGACTGACCCAGGGAATATATAGGGCTACTTTGTCCTGGCCCTGTCAAGTACGGTTGGTAAAAATAAATACAATGATTTTTTGGGTCAAATTAGTTTTTCAAAATGTTGAATGCAGCTGGTTGCCATGACAAATATTGAAATGAGCAAACGCAGATACAGTAAGTTGACCTCACTCTAGCTCGGTGAACTGTAAAAACGACAACTCAAAATTGTTCACCTTACTCAGATTTTTGGATTTTTGGAACTCAGAACTGGAACTGTCTCTTGTGAGCCACTTGAACTCACTTTCAGAAGTTCAACTTCAAAGTAAAGTCAACTTAATATATCAAATAAGATGAACTTTTCATCAGAAACTTCTGAAAGTGAGTTCAAGTGGCTCAAAACAGACAGTTGCAGTTCCAACTGGCAATTTTATTATCAGTGAATGCAAAAATCTTAGTAATGTGAACAATTTTGAGTTGTATTTTTTACAGTGCAGTTATCAACCCTCTGCATTGTATATTCACAGAGAGAAGGCATTGTGAAGCCTATAGCCCACTGCTTTATCAGAGTAGAGTTGTAGCGACAATGTTTCGTTAGGTCTATACACACTTTTAAAGCTAGGGTACCTGACTTTCAAGCCTCAACCAAAAATAACTATAATACTGAACCTGGAATACAGTCCGTCTAACTAGTGCCGAGACGTATCAATTACAGAAAAATGAAAAAGGGTTGGACCACCCTCACTCGGCCAATCAGATT